AAGGGATGGCCCTTAAAAAAAAAAAAATCAAACTGGGAGGGGAAGACCCTCAGGGTTGCTGACCCAAAGAGAAACAAATAACTGTTTACATTCATTCTGAGCAGGAGGGACCAAAATAACCATTAAGTGGTGCTTGGGCAGGGACCTATTGTTGTCCAATCATTGAGAGCCAGAGTGAATTGGGTTTAAGGCAGAGTCTTTAAGAAAGAATTCTAGCCAGTAAACTCCAAGATAACTAGGTAAATTTCAGCCACATATGCCTTCCTTTGGGCAGAACACCCTCAGAGAGCCATAAGGAGTTGTTTGAATCACATAAAGGTTAAGCATAGATGACACCAAGTTGAGAAGAGAGCTCAGAAACACACTGGATGCTAGAGACAGGATTGACAAGATTTTGACAGGTTACAAAATTGATCTGAATCTGATTAGAGAAAATTTAATAGGAATAAATATAAAAGTTTTACACTTATTACAAAAAAACTTACTTCATAAGTCTAAGACTGGGGGAGCAAGGCTAGACAGCAGTTTTGTCTAGAAAAGGTTTGGGGCTTTTAGTAAACTCAGTATGAGTTAGCAGTCTGCTATGGCAGCCAAAAAGACACATGTGATCTTGGGTCTCAAATATTGAGAAGGTGTAGTCGCTTTGTACCTTGCTCTGATCTGCTCTTATCTGGAATATTGTCTTCTGGTCTGTGAAACACATTTTAGGAATGTCATTGATGTTAGCAAAAATGTCCAAAGGAGAGTGACCAGGGATGGTAAAGGGCCTTGAGTCCTTCCCTTGTGAGGGTGTTTAAAGGAAGTAGGCAAGTTTTACTGGAGAAGAGAAGGCTATGATGTATGTGGGAGGTGGAGAAGGAAAGGGGTTGATTGATATCCTTGTTCAAGTATATGAAAGACCATCCTTTAGAAGCAGGATTAGACATATCCTTTAGACTTCAGGGAGCAGAATTAGGAGCAACAGGTAGAAGTTGCAAAGAGAGTAATTTTGGCTTCATAAGAGGAAAATTTCCAAACAGTCAAAAATCTTTGAAAATAGAATGGGCTAAAGGTACGTTCCCCAGCATTGAAAGTCTTCAAGCAGAAACTGGATGAGCATTTGTTAGGAATTGGAGAAATGAGACAGTAGCTTGAGTGATAGGCCTTTGCATCACAGATTCAGAGCAAGATCAAGCCTCAGAAATCATCTAATCCAAGCTTCTCATTTTACAGATGAGGAACTGAGGCTGAGATGTTGATCAAACTGCCTAGGCCTTAGGGTCACCCAGCTAGTAACTGTCTGTGGAAGGATTTGGACCCAGGTTTTCCTGACTCCAAGTCCAACTCTATCCATTACATTATGCTACCATATTGGGATTGCTTCCAAATTCTAAAATTCTGTGCGAAACTGAGTTGATGAAGAATATTTGTTGCCTGGGATTCTATAACTTGACTAGGGTCACACAGCTGGTAAACATTATTCTGGTCACTGTGCTACATTGCTGCTTTGTAAAAAAGTTGTAAGTGACCAAAAGTAAATTTTATTTCACACTGTGGTACATAGTCCTGCCATGTAAAATGTCATAATATTTACATTTTTCTTTAGCATCTCATTATGTCAATATGTTGGCTCTAATAAGGGGACGGCTTCTGATACTTCATTTGTAAGTACTGGTTACAAGTAGCATAGCCTTGCAGAATGTGTTCTGGGTCTGTTCTAGCTTTATAGGTTCTTTCATTTGTTCTCTGATGAAAACTCAATACTTCACTTAAACAATACTTGTATTTTTCCCAAGTTCTTTCTTCCCCAGAGTAATGTATCTTGCCCTTCATTTTGTCTGAGAACATACTTTACTTTTGTTTCCCATCAGTGTCACTTTGAGTGAATCAAGTGCGAAAATATGTATTGTTTTATTGAAGAATGAGTATTTGATCTATTACTCCCTCTCAAGTCACTTCAATAACATTATTCGAAAGATCACACAGAGCTAAAAGGGACCTGTAGTTCAGATTAGAGAAGGGAAGAGGCCATCTAGTACAAACCTCTCATTTTAAAGATGAGGAAACTGAGGCCCAGGGAAGGTTGTAATTTGCCCAAAGTCACATAGATAATAAGAGTTAGAGGCGATTGAACTCAGGCCCTCTGACTCCTGAGCCAGTGACAGATCCTTTTCATTTTCATCATTGATATATTTGTTTCAGGAGATGTAGCAGAATTTTTTGTTTATTTTCAGTAGTATGTAATAAAGGAATCAAATGACTAAGGGCTCTTTGAGTTTGCTTCTTTGTTCCATATGTGAATTTCCTTGAAGTAAATTCTCTTTTCTTGCTTCATTCAGGTGATAGTGTAGGTAGGACATTGAGTTCTAACATTTGGAAATATAGTACTAGTCTTGACAAGCACTTTTAATAGTAAGTATTTAGGTAGATTTTTGAAATTTTTAGATTTCAAAAAGTATTTGATTCTTTACTGCCTTTGAATAACCTTTCCTACTTTACTTAAAAAAATGTGAGCACCTTCTACTGTTGCCTTATCTGCTTTAAAATCTCTCCATATTTTCATCTCATATAATCATGTCTCTAGGGAAGAAGTCTTACCTCCTTGTCCCTGTCATGTCTTTAATCTTAACAATGTTTCTTTCCTAAGATCTTGTTCCATTATTCTTACCCTTTTATGCATCTTTAATCTCTTTCTCCACTAGTGTCTTCCCACTGCATATAAACATGCTTATATTTCTTCTGTCCTAAAAAATACTTTCCTAAGCTTAAAAATGACTAACTCTAAAGTAAAAAAAGACTGGGTTCAAATCCTGCTCCTCATGCTTGTTGTCATTTCCTCTCACTGGGGCTCAGTTTCTTCATCTCTAAAATGTGAGGGTTGAACCTGAGGACTTTTCCAACTTAGAAACTTATTCTGTGGCCTCCTTGAGCTACTGTCTCATTTATCATCTTTTCACTGCGAAAATTCTTTAAAGAGTAACCTTGAACTTACCACCACTTCTAGGCAACTTATTTATTCCTCAGTCTCTTTCAGTCTGTCTTTGCTCTTCCCTATTGAACTATCTCATCTCAAAAACCAGCTTCCCAATGGCTAAATCAAAATGCCTTGTCTTAGTCCTCATCCATTTCTTTGATAGCTCTCTTACATTCTCTGACCTTGTACTGTTCTACTTCTCTTCCCTTTCTGACCACTCATTTTTAAGTTCTCTTCCTTCTAAATCAGGGGTTCTTAACCTTTTTTGTGTCATAGACTGCTTTGGCAGTTTGTTAAAGCTTCTCGACCCCTTCTCACAATAATATTTGTTGCCTATATTCATGATTTAAGGAAATAATCAATTTTGGTTAGAGGCAGTGCAAATAAAAATGTAATTTTTCCCCCAAATAAAGTTCATAGACAACCTTGTAATCCATCCACAGACCCAACTCTTGGTTAAGAACTCCTGTTCTAAATGTAGACAATCCCCAGGATTCTTTTCTTGGTCTCCTCTTCCCCCTTCATTCTCTCTTCCCTTCTCTGTGCATACGCAGACATACACATATTATTCACATGCACTGTCAGTTAAATGCTTGACAAGCATTTATTAAGCTCTTACTATTGTTTTAATTTCTGGGAATACAAAGGAAAGCAAAAACAGCCTGTGTCCTCAAGGAATTCATATTCTAGTGAGGAAGATATTATTATATTATAAATAGCATTGTAAATATTGTAAATAACTAGGAACCTACAATATATACATGCACACACAGAGTAAATGGTATGTAATCTGTGGAGTGAAAGGCACTAGTGTCTAGGAGGCTGGAGGTTGGGGCTAAGGAAGTAGGAGGAAGACCTGTAGAAGGTAGAATTTGAACTGTCTCAGAGGAAGCCAGGGAAGCTAGTAAGTGGAGATGAGGAGAGTATTGCAAACATAGTAACAGCCAGTGGAAAGGCAGGAAGTTGGAAGATGGAGGTGTGGAGTACCCTAGGGGAGGAACAGCAAGTAGCTCCATTTGGCTGGATCATCAGAGAGTGTGGAAGGAAGTCAAATGTAGGAATACAGGAAACATAGGAAGGGCCAGGTTATGAGAGCTTTAAATGCCAAAGGATTTTGTATTTAATTCTATAAGCGAATGGTGTCACACTCAAGTAGAAATGAGAGCCACTAAACCATACATAAGAATACCTGTGGACCATGTATTGACTTTGAAAACTGCATGTTAACATTCTGTGTGTTCTGTTGTATTTTTATTTATTTTGTCAACTTTCCCAATTACATGTCGGTCTGGTTTAGGGCCACATTTAGTGTTGCTGGCCGGTGTTTGACACCTCTTCTATAGGAACAAGGAGCCACTGGAGTGTCTATCGCTCTGTCCTTGTCCCTCTCCTCCTACTGTCCCCCCTCCCCCATCACAACTTTGATTATTGCCTCAGTGCAGATAACTCTCAACAAAGGAGCATTCTAGAAATCAGAGTGAGGAGCAAGAAATTCACTTCCCTCCTGGCCCAGTGATTCAGGAAGTGCATAGGGGCATGGCTAGGGCTGGGGTATGTTTTCTGGGGAGAGCCAGAATTAATATTGTTAGTGTCCAAGTCTGAGATTTAGGAATTCTTAGTTTTCCAGAAGTTGCTGACTATCAACATTTACAAATCTTTTGTGGTAAGCAAAAGTTATGGTCACACAACGTTTTGGCATGAAAGAGAAGTATCTATAGCAGCATGGTTTGTGCCTTTATTTGCTAGAAGTTGGGGATTGGAGTTGAAGATGGAGTGGCATCTTTATTGTATTTGTAAATGCTAATTTTATTTATTTATTTATTTTCAGGGAATATCTTGGTAAACAACTACAGTCGGAACAACCTCAAACAGCTACTGCAAGAAGTTGAATAGAGATGTCCATTTTCAAAATTTCCACCTCTCCATACAGTGGCATAACTGGAGTATGAATCTTAATATTTAGATTCAAGAGTACATGATTTTATTTGTAGTGTTCATCTCCTGCTATGCAGATATTTCTTCTCCTCAGTTTCTTTTTTTTCTTATGCTGTCTCCTAGTCAAAGTGATTGTTAAGTTGTATCATTTGAATAATTTTAACAATTGCTGTTTAAAAAGCTAGTCTCCTTTCCCATATCTGCAAAAATATAGCTATTCCATGTATTGCCTTTGTTTTCTATATTTATTGTTGTCTTGAAATGAATATAGATATTAAAAGATAAACATTCCAGAATGTTCTTGTCAAAACATCTTCTCCAAATATTTTTCTTTCCTGCCTTTTCAGAGATTGAATGTTTCAAACATTCTCCTTGTGCTTTAGAATCATTATTATCCTAAAGTGAATCCTTAAAAAGTTATTGTAAAATAGTGCAAAGAAAAAATTTACCTCTTTTAGATGTTTATAAAGAATGGTCAGTTTTAAAAGTTGGGCTTCAAAAACGGGTGTTGGGGTTCAAAAAAAGGAAGAGGACGTTCCAGGAATAGTGAATCAATGGTACAAGCATGCTCTGTGGAGTAAAGAAGGGACAGAGAATAGTCCAATTTGGGTGGAGCATAAACTCTATAAATGAGAATAATATGAGAAGGCTAAAAAAGCCTTGCAGGAGGTAATAGAGTGATTTTGGGAGGTAGAAAAATAGCCCTATTAAAGTAGTATTTTAGAAAAAATTCACTTGATAACCTTAGAGAATCTGGAGGCAGGGAGACATTAGAAGGTTATTGTCTGAACCAAAAAAGACCACAAATTGCATCTTGATGGTGGGACCTGAAAGGATGAAAATGAGTATGATTGCTAATAGAAAAATAATTCTCATTTGAGCTGCACAATAGCCCAATGAAGTAAATTCTACAGATTTTATCATCTTCATTTTACAGATGAAGGAACTTGAGCTTAGAGAATTTAAGTCACTTGGCCATGGACATACAGCCAGTGAGTATGAGATCCTCTCCTTAAGTCCAGCAGTCTTTATATACCACACTGCCTCTCAATGAACAAATGTTGTCCAAAGTCTAGAAAAATATTTTTTCCATAGAGGTAGGGGAGAGGCCCTGGACTTGTGATTTTAGTGGCACAGGGAACTCCTAGGTGAGCAAAGACTTTCTACCAGTGCAGGTTGACACCTCTAGAGAGCCCTGAGAGATTAAATGGTTTGCCCAGGGTCACACAGTCAGTGTGAGAGAAGCAGCAGGACTTGACCCAAAATCTTCCTGGCTTTAAGACTGGTTCTTTGTACATCACACCAAATGTTATTTCTCTAGCTGTAAGCAAACATTTATAATTTTACTTTTTAGTTCTGAATTTAATGAACAACCCCGCCCCCCAAAAGAAAGACACTTCTATATACAAAATAGAACAGAAAAAGGATTGTTAGAAAAATCTAAAACAAAAATCTACTACAAGAGTAAATGAAGGAAAGCCTTTATTATGCTTCTCATGAGAAGCGGGCACACCATACTCTAGTAGCATGTGCACACTGGTATAGTGGTAGAATCAACTTTTAAATGGTTAGTAAGATCCATACTTCAACCACGTGAGCCTAAGATTGACTAGCTCATCTGAGTTACACTCTTCCTGAATAGCCCATCCCATGTTCCTCCATGTCATGTTAGTTCGTGCATCCTATATATCCCATGTTCAAAAATGGCGGCTAGCTCTGCCCTCGGGGTGTGTCAGTTAATATTTAATTAACTTATTAAGTAAGCAGCAATGGAGAAAAGTTCCTTGACCCCACAGGTTGCAACCAGTTTAGCCTCCAGGGCTCTGTCTTAAGGAACTAGTTGTTTGCAGAATGTTTGGGGCATTTCTGATTGGTTGAAGGACTATCCACAAGATCTTGGAAGTCCTTCTCAGAATCCCCTTGTTCTGTGTGGGGAAGCCTAACTCCTAATCCTTTCTCACAGGATGATATATGAAACTGTGGGTCTTTAGTCATACTGCTTGCTTGTAAAAAAGTATATAATAAATTCAACATGTTACTTTCAAAGCTGACCTGTTTGTCTATTTTACTTCTGTGCTTTTTCAAAAATACTTTAGTAACCTACTTTTCTTTCTTTTCTTTCTTTTTTTTGGCAGCACTGTCGTTAGTTTTCTTCTCCTTTCTGTATATCCCCCACCCTCACTCCCCTGCCAAAGGCAAAAAAAAGAAAGAAAAACACAGTGCTTATAACATATGTAATTTAAAAACCAAATTCACACATTTTCCATGTCCAAAAATACATATGATATTCTGCACCTTGGGCCTATCAGTCCTCTGCAATATGTCATCTCATTGATTAGAGTGCTTTAAAGTCTTTTCTAGTTGTTTTTCTTTACAGAGTTGTTACTTTGTGAATTTTTCTCCTTCCATTCATTTCACTGTGGATCAGTTCATACAAGTCTTCCCAAGTTTCTATGAAACCATCCCTTTCATCATTTTCTTATGTACAATGATATTCTCTTATATATATATGTCATAATTTGTTGTTCAGCCATTTTCTGACTAATGGTTCTCTTTTCCTGCCTCTTCCCTTCCAGATTTTTAGTGCAACAAAAACTGATATAAATATTTTTGTATTCACGAGTCTTCTTTCTTTGATCTTTTTTGGGTTGAGTCCTAGTAATATTATTAGTGAGTCAAAAAGTTTGCACAGCTCAGTGACTTTAGGAGCATAGTTGCAAATACTTTCCAGAATGACTGGATTAGTTCACAACTCCACCCATGGTGCATTTCTGCAGTCTATCCAATTGTCATTTTCCTTTTTTGTCATTTTTGCAAATGTGAAGGGTGTGGAGTGGAACTCCAGGGCTGGTTTAATTTGCATTAATCTAATTATTAAATAATTATTAATGATTTTGGAGCATTTTTTCATATATCGTAGCTTAGATTTCTTCCTTTGACAACTGCCTGCTCATATCCTTTCACCATTTATCTGTTGGGAATCACTATCATTCTTATATATTTCAATTAGTTCCTTAGATAGGGTGGTCCAAAAGTCTTAGTGCGGTTTTAAGCTATTAAAGCTTTGACTCAAAGCTTATTTATACCAGTTATTAATAGTTAAAAGCTTTAATTTTAATCATATTTTAGGAAACAACAAATTTGGATGTCACTTAAACAGTTTTCAGCCTTCTTTTGAAGAAGTTAGGTCTTTTTCAGTATTCTAAGATTGGGAATTGCTTTTCCTTTGAAAATAAGCTTTCAGATTTGGCAAATGATTTCTCTTAGATAAAGCACCTTAATGTCTGATATGTGTTGTGAACATGTGGCACATAGCTCATGTTTAATGAGCTTTTAGAAGTTCTTGACTTACATTTATACTGGTGTCTACATAGCAATTACCCTTGCCAGGTATGCCAGCACAACTCAGAATTTCACATCATTTCCTTCTATTTGGCCATAAGCTGCAAAGTCATCTTCAAGAAGGTCTGAATAGGTCCTGTAGTTTACAATACATTTTTGTATTCATATGTTCATTCTTTTTATTATTATAACATTGATTTTTAAAATTTTGAGTTCCATGTTCTCTTTCTCCCTCCAGCCATTGAGAAGGCAAGCAATATGATACCCATTATACATGTGAAGTTATGCAAAACATATTTCTGTATTTATCTTATCAATATATTTAAAATGAGTTTATTTCTTTCATTGTTACCATGTTATCATCATCATTTGTTTTCTTCTGGGTAACTGTAATCTATAAATCTTATTCATGCTGCTGTATGTTTTATCTCAAGGCAACAGATTTTTTTTTAAAGCTTCAAGATTTTTCATACTTCTAACCAGCAGCACCAGCCTATTAATCTTGACCATGAGAAATCCAGACTCCTCAACAAGCATTCCCACATGATAACTCCCAGTCTCTTCCCACCATTCTCATGGTGAAAAAGCCCTGTTCTATCTGCAGCCTGCTATGGGATGTTTTGGTATTGTTCTTTCTCTTAGACCTCACAACTTCCTTCCGTCGATCCTAGTTCTGCCCTTTGGGTCTTAGGAAAACAGTATGAATTTCTCTTCCATATGAGAGACCTTCAAATACTTGAAAACAGTTGGGACTTTTTTTCCAGGCTAAAAGGCCCCTGGTCCATTTTTTGAGTCCTCATATTGCCCTTCACTGTCTCAGGTGCCTCTTCTGTTTTCTATCCAGTTTATCAATGGCTTTCCTAAAATGTGGTATCCAGAGCTGAACCTAATTCTTTAGTTTTGCCCAGGGTAGCATCATGAAGATGAGTGACTCATCTTTCTAGTCACTACCTATCTAATTCTAAGATAGTATTAACTTTCTTGACTGCCAAGAAAATTTTAAGTTAACCCTGTGAGGTAAGTGCTTACTAAATTTTAAAACACTATTAATGTAAGTGGCATATAGGGTTAATTTTAGCCAGCTAGGTGGCACAGTGAATGGAGCGCTGGGCCTAAAGTCATGGAGACTCATCTTCCCAAGTTCAAATCTGTTCTTAAACATTTAGTAGCTGTGTGATCCTGGGCAAGTCACTTAACTCTATTTGCCTCAGTTTCCTCATCTGTAAAATGAACTGGAGAAGGAAATGTCAAACCATTTCAGTATCTTTGGCAAGAAAACCTCAAAAAGGCTCATAAAGAGTTGAAAACAACTGAACAACAAGGCTTAATTTTAATGATGTTGATATTTCAGCAGGAGCTTTAGAGGTTCGCTGTAACTCTACCACTAATCCATTAAGTAATTCACTGTCCCATCAGTACTCTCTTTACAGCCTGGTGATAAAGATATAAAAGTTTTACCTCGAGAAGGTAAGAAATGGCTTCAGGAGTTGCACATATTAACATTTCAGATCGAGGCCTCCTAAATGCCTATGTTTGGCCTTCTCAGTAAATCGGGTGTAAAATTATTCAGGAGAATTAAGACAGCTACCTCTTCTTTGGTCATTTCCCTTTTATGATATTTTTAAGTTGTAAATTGGCTAAATTGATAGCTATTCACTTTGTAGAACTTGTCTTCTTAGTCCACCTTGGGTCTGTAACCTCAATTTATATAGTGGACAGACAAAACTGTCTATTCACATCTGTCCTTGTTGCTGTGACCCACTATGGGTCTGGTGGTGACCTTATGTGGGTCTGAGACTTCCTCTTCCCTTGTTGCACAGACTCTCCCTAGGTGCTGGAGTGAGTGGGCATGCTCCAGCCTGGAACCCATCCCAAGTGTCTGCAGACCTCCCTGTCTGTTTCTATGCCAACCTGGGCCAGATACATGTGATTTTTTTGCTGTATTTCCCCATCAGAATTTGGTCTGGTGCATTTTCTAGATTTGTTTGGAGGAATTTGTGGAAGGAAGCTCAGTGCATACCTTCCTAGCACTCCACCATCTCAGCTTCATCCCCTCTCTCTTTCCTTCGAAAGTCAGAGTCCTAAGAAAAATCCTTGCCTCTACTTTTTCACTTCCCACTCACTTCTCAACCCTTGCAGTCTGGATTCCTTCCTAATGACTGAAAACCAACTGAAAATGTACTAAGATAATTGCCTCTTTACTGCTAAATCCAGTGGCCTTTTCTCAGTTCTTATCATTCTTGGCTTTTCTGTAACATTTGACAGCACTGAACACCCCTCTTCTAGACATTTTCCTCTTCCCTTGGTTTTTGTGACATTGTTCTGTCATAGTTCTTTCTCTACCTTTCTGTTGCTTCTCGTCCTTTTTACAGGATCAGTCATAATTGTCTCACCCTCTATATGTGGGGGTGTCACATAGTTCTTTCCTGGGCCTTGCTTTTTTCCTTATTTACGTGTATCTTGGTGATATCAGCTTCAATTGATTAAAATATTATCTCTGTATGAATGACTCTGAAATTTATCTGTCCAGCCTTTGTCTTTCCTGACCTTCAATCCTGTATCTTTAATGGCCCTCTGGTTATTTCCACCTGCATATCAATTCAACATATCAAAAACAGAATTCATTCTCCCTCCACTCAACCTAGGCCTCAGAGGTAACATCACTCATTCTCCTAGTCTTTCAACGTCAAAGTCATCCTCAATGCTTTACTCACTGCCCCTTAAATATCCAAATCTTGTAAATTATATCTCTACAGCATCTCTTGCATCTCTTTTCTCCACTCATACCATAACCAACCCAGTTCTGGTCCTCATCACCTCCTATTGGGATTATTGGAATAACCTTCTGATTTGTGCCCCTTCTTCTCCAGTTCTTCCTCTCCTTACCTGCCAAATCAATATTCCTAAAGCACAGTTCTGACTATTGTTCTTCTCAAAATTCTTCAGGAGATCTCTGTTGCTTCTAAGTGAAATGCAAACTTTTGCTTTGCACAGTCTGACTCCAGGTTCTTTTTCTGCAGGTTCCCTACACATCATTCCTTATAGGGTCCACAGTCCAGCATACTGGCTGTACTTGATATTCCAGGTCCATTATATCATCCATTGCTCTGCCTTTGCACAGCCTGACTCCCGCTCCCCACCCACTCATCTGACTAGAAAGTACTCCCTCCTTATCTCTTTCCCTTGGAACACCTAGCTCCCTTGAAGGCTCTGCTTACCTCCTACTAGAGGCCTATCCCAAATTCCTTGGTTGTCAGTGCCCTCCACAATGATTTTGTATTTGTTATGTACATATTTTGTATTTACTTATCTGTGAACTTGTTCTCTCCCCCAAAGAGAATGTAAGTTTTCTGTATCCCCAACACCTAACTGCATGGTAATATAGGAGGGGCTTAATTTTTTTTTTTATTTACTGTTGTTAATAGCTAGCAGTTATGTAGATTTTTAATGTTAACAGAGTACTTTACAAATTTCATCTCATTTTATCCTAACAGGACCCTGGAAAGTAGGTGCTATTATTATCCCCATTTTATAGATGAGGAAATTGAGGCTGACATAGGTTAAGTGACTTACGTCACATCTAATAAGTGTCTGAGGCTGGAGTTAAACTCAGGTCTTGACTCCAGCTCCATTCACTGTGCCATCAACTCACTAAATATCCCTTAAATACATTCTATAATTTACTGAGGAATAGAAGTCACCATAGTTT